GAGAGAGAGAGAGAGAGAGAGAGAGAGAGAGAGAGAGAATCTACACCTCTGGGTCAGCCCTCATGGCTGCCACAGCTAGGGCAGGGCCAGACTGAAGCCAGGAGGAGCCGGGAGCTTCATCCAGCTCTCCACGTTGGTGCAAGGGCCCCGTCCACTGCCTTCCCAGGCCGTCAGCTGGGAGCTGGATGGGAAGTGAAGCAGCCGGGACATGAGCCAGTTCCTGTGTGGGATGCATGTGCTGCCGGCACTGGCTTTATCCATTATGCCTCTATCACCCCCCCTTTTATTTTTTAATTGTTATTTTATTTTGATACTCTTTATGTAGTTGATTAGGGCACAAAAGGTCAAGGGCTACAGGAAAGTGGGTAAGGCCATTGTTTCTTCTCTCTCTCTCTCTCTCTCTCTCTCTCTCTCTCTCTCTCTCTCTCTCTCTCTCGTATCTAGGGTAAGGCGGGGAGACAAAAGGAGAAGCCCCACCCAGCCTCCCACCACCCCAGGGTCCCCGATGTGGGGCATGCTCCGAGGCTCCTGCTCAAGTGGTTTTATGAGTTCAGTTCTGAATTGCTGCCGAACTCGCCGTTCCAAGCACGATGAAATCTCTCCAGAATCCACTGGCTGACACAGTCCACCTTAGGGTCTCCGTTTGCCCAGATTTTCACTGCCAACACAGGGCTGGGGTAGATGATCAATTTGTTCTGTCCTCTGTCCTCTGTCGTGGTACCAGTGTCCTCTGCAGGCTCCGATGCGCTGCCATATCCTCCATGTGCACCTGGTTATGCTGTCCACTGCTCTGTGTGAGCCACTGAGGAGGCCCAGCTTTGACACATGCACTCCATGACCAGACCATGGAACCTGCGCTTCTCTTAATGATTGGGATTCTGAGATCAGCAGTTCAGTTAGAGGGGTCCCTAAAGAAACTTTGTCTGTGTGATCCCAGACCCGATTGTCGCGTGTGATGCCAGTACAGGGTCCGGCACAGTCTGTCGTCCCAGTCGGCTTATGCACATGCTGGTGTCCCCTTCTTAATAACAAGATAGCAGAAGCCAGATTGGAAAATCCAGCTGACATTACAAATGTGGAGGCAAATGAATAATTTAAATGCATTGGGGGTGGCGGATCCTTCACTGTCAGGTTTGAGTACTTGCCGAGTTTTCTTGTGAGGCAGAGTGCGAGGCGTGCGTCTGATGAGGAGGCGAGCTGGAATGAAACATCCTCTGAAGAGACTCCTTATCTTCCTTCCCTGTCACCTGTTGCACCGAGGCTTTCAGCCGCAGGGCAGGGAAAGGCTTCCTGTTGTTGTCAGACTTTGGTCTTTGGGACCCTGGGCGGGGGTTGATGTCAGGCCGTGTTTTTGTTGTGCTGGGCTGGGCGAGTGGTCCCTTTCCCCTCTGTCACGTTGGTGAGAAGTGGTAGTGCCACTGGCACAGGGACGGCAGGACATGTGTGGGCTTGCACCCAGTTGCAGGTTCTTCTTGTGAGTTCCCAGTCTGTGTAGATTGATACATCCCAATGTGTTCAAAGTGGCCCAAGTGGCCACAATCGCCAGAGCTGAGCTGATCTGAAGCCAGGAGCTTCTTCTGGGTCTCCCACAAGGATGCAGGGTCCCAAAGCATTGAGTCGGCCTCTACTGCTTTCCCAGGCCACAGGCAGGGAGCTGGATGGGAAGTAGAGCAGCCAGGACATGAACCAGCATCCTGGCTGTAGCAAGGCGAGGAGGATTTGGCCACTAGGCTATTGCACCGGGTCCTATATGCTGTTATTATTGTTGTTGTTGAAATACAGTTACACAGAGGAAGAGATGCTGGGAGAGATCTTCTGTCCTTTGGTTTCCTCCCCAAATGGCCACACTATCTGAGGCCGATCCACGCTGAAGTCAGGAGCCTGGAACTCCATCCCTGGTCTCCCACGTGGGGGCAGGGGCCCAAGCACTTTTCCAGAAACATTAGCAGGCAGCCGGAGTGGAGGTGGAACAGCCGTGTCTTGAACTGCCCAAATGGGATCCTGGCACTGCAGGTGGAGGTTTAACTTGCTATGCCATGAGCACTGGCCCAATTCTTTTCAAAACTGTGTTCTGATCTCCACGCCCGGGATCATCAAATTCAAGGATGAAGACGCCCTTAAGATTCAGAGGGTTCTGCCCGCAGGGCTGTGGGAATGTGGCACATCCTGCAGGGGACCCCACTTAGTCTGTGTTTCCTCTGATTGTAGGGACATGGGGCATGGAGTATAGGGCCACATCTGCACGCACCCCCTCTGTTGTCACCCTTCCAACTCCCCCATTTGTTGTCCAGCAACCCACATGCTGCTTCTTGGTGCTCTTCGGGAAGCTGGGCCCCTGTGTGGAGGAAGCTGGGACAGTGTGGCCTGTGTGGAAGCAGCTGGCCTGCTGCCGTGGCTGGGAGGGTTGCATAGGAATGCAGGCATCGGGGGTGGTGGTGGTGGGAGACCCACAGGGGCTTGGTAAGGCCCATGGGTGCTTGCACCTTGTGAGGCTTGCGCTGGTGGCCTGCAGTGGCTAACGACAGCCAGCGCCTATGCTGTCCACGTGGTCTAGGGTGGAGATGAGTGTGCAGGGGTGAGGCTGGAGGGGTCAGGGAGGCACAGGCTGCGGGTAGCGTCCAGATTTCTGGGAGGAAAGGAGAGGGATTGCGCTTGCAGACGGCTTTGTCCTTCCTGGAAGGTCGGCCTGGGGAGTCATGGGTTTCCGGGAGGGGACAGTTTCCCAGAGCTGGCAGGCAGATGGACGTGTAAACAACCGATTACCACGTGGTTTAGAAAAATGGGAGCTACAGAGGCTGTTGCTATGACAACAAGAAGTCCATTGTCACCCACAGGAGTGAACAGGGCTCCATGGCTCAGGGGACCAACCCTCCCTGTGCTTTTTGGTGATGGTGACCTTGTCTGAGCTTGGTTGAGCAGGTTCACCAGGGCCTGGGCTATCTTTGATGCCCGTGAATCGAAGCCATGCATTGGCTGCACCAACCCCATGTCCCCGCCCCAGGGCATCCTGTGGAGGCGGGGTGGGGAGGGTCCTGGTGCAGCAGCCTCAGAGGGCGGGGCTGGAGGGAGGACACACCCACATGTCCAGCTGGTGCCTGCACACTTGCAGAGGGACAGAGCATAGGAGCATTTCCTCTTGGGGAACATTTCCAGGGGTGTGATGGGGCACTGGTGCTGGAGCAGGACGCAGGTGTGGAGTAGACCCCTGCTCCTGGCATGGCTCCGGCATGGCTCCGGCCTGGCTCCCGGCTTGGCTCCCGGCTTGGCTAGGCTGCGGCTCCTGGGGCACTTTCCCTGCACCACTTCCTTCCTTTTTCTTCTGCCAGACTGGGCGGCAGGAATTTCCTGTTTCCCCGCCAGCGCAGCGGGAAGGGCTGGGTGTAGCTCTCTCCTGGGAGGGTTTTTGGGGGAGGTGGGATGGGGGTGGAGCATCTCCCACCTTCTCTCTTCCTCGGTTGGGACTCCCGGAAGCCTCTGCCTGCTTCCCCTCCCCCACCCCAGTAGAGCTGGACCTGCTGTCGTTTGTGGACTCCTGGACACCTGCCCTTCTGGCCCCCGCCTCCTGCTCGCTGGCCTCGCCCTGGCCCAGGGCTCCCAGGGATCACGCCACTGCTCTCCCAGCACGGAGGTTTAGCATTCACTCCTGCAGCTGCCCTAGGTCCAGGGACGGCCCCACCCAGGGTGTCCCCTTGGGCTGTGACGGCCTCTGTGAGCCTGGCCTTGGGCTGCTTCCCTGTCCTTAGGTTCACACTGGATCTTGCTGCTGTCCAGTGCAGAGAAAGAGCCGACCTTTAACTTGTACATGCGAGACCACTGGACTCTGGACCCCTGCCCCTTGTGCCCCAAGCCCATCCCTGCAGAACCTTCTGTTAGACCTGGGGGGAGAGGCCAGGGGTTTTTGTCTTCATCTGTGACGCACGTGTAGCACTCTGAGGTCACGGGTGTTTGGAAGTGTCTGTCCTGTGAGAGGAGCTCGGCACGCCAGCTAATGCAGCTTAGACCACCACGTGTCAGTGTCCCTGTGGGCTGTGATGCCGGCGGGTTACAGCTTGGCCTTTCTGCCGTGGAACTGCAGTCTTCAAGTGTGGTGGTTAGAGGACCAGGCTTGGGGGACAGCAGAACTTGCAGGCATCCCCTGTCAGAGTCCTGGTTCGAGTCCCAGCTGTTCTGCTCCCCATTCTGCTTCCTGCTCAGGCGTTGGGGAAGACAGTGGAGGCTGACCCACATCCTCAGGCCCTGCTGCCTGTAGGAGAGACCAGGGTGGAGTTCCTGGCTCTGCTGGCCCAGCCTGGCAGCGGTGGTTGTTTAGGGAGTGAACTGCCATCACTCTGCTTTTCCCCTCCCACCTGGGAGTCTCAGGCCCTTTGTGGGTGCCTTGGGAAAAGAAAGGGCTCTTAGAGTGCGGGGCAGGGAGCCCCCAGGCCTGGGTAGTGTTGCTGCCAGAGGACCTGTGACCTGCAAAGGTGTGATTGGCAGAACTGGGAAATATCCGAGTCACGTGTGGGACTAATCACACAGGCTTCTCCACGGCCACAGGATGCCCTTACCCATGGGTCTGGTTGAGAAGCCAGGGCTGTGAGATTGTCTGGTGAGGGGAGGAGTGGGAAGGGACTGGGGGCACCCAGCGGGAGGCGTGGCACCCTCTGTACCCCGCCCCTGTGTCCTAGAGGAAAAAGTGGGGGTAGCTTGGCTTGCTTGAGCTGCTTTGAGGTGGAGCAGGTGAGCGGGATTTTCCCAAGCGAGAGCTTACGGTAATGGAGTGGTGACGTCTCGGATTGCCCAGTCCACCAGTGGGCTCCAGAGGCTGGGCCTCGCAGAGCCCTGTGCTGCACGGCCTGCCAGCCTCGGCTCTTGGGAAGCGAGAAAATGCCGCTGTCTTCAGTTCTGAGGCTGACTAAAGCCTCCTTCCTACACAGCCTGCACTCAGTTTCCGATTATTGTGTGTGTAAAACTCCTCAATAGTTGTGCAGGGCTGAGGGCCTTTTCCTGCGAGCTAACCAGTGAAAGATGGACAGGCTGAAGAGCTGCTGTGTCCGGGTGTAGACCCACGGTGTGCTTACAGGTGCATGGGTGGTTGTCTCGGTGTGCCTTCTCTGGACTCCTGGGTGGAAGGAGTGTGGCTGTTGTCGTCCTCTGAAAGGTGTGCCAGCTGCCCGAGGTTATTGCTAATGAATGCTCTGCCTGAAGCTCAGACCCGAGGCTTGGGTCACGCCCCACCGGAGCTGTGGGCAGCCTCGGAGCTCGGCACTGGGGCAGGGCGCCAAGAGAGAGCCCAGTGCAGCGGGGAGGGGTGTCTCCAGAAGCTGCAGGCTCATGGCTGAGCCCCAGGGGTGGCTTGGAGCAGTGGACTCTCCTGTGGCAGTGGGTGCTGGGGAGGGGGCAGACATCCCGGAGAACCCCTCGTCTCATCTGAGTAGGTGCAAGGTTTATAAGGCACACAGCACGGGTGGGGAAGTCCCAGTTTCGTGATGGTCTTGTGGCTGGCGTTGAGTTTTCACTTTTGGTTTCTAGGAGGAAGTGAGCAGGGCCTCTGCCTGTAGTCTGCCTAGGAGAAGATGAGGATGGTTCAGGGCGTTCTGGGATTTAGGGAGCATCCACTTGGCCCCCTGACCCTGAACCCCCAGGAGAGAGGGACGGGTCCCACTCCGCTGCGGTGAGAGCCAGGGGGTGCTTGGTGATCTTGAGGGAAGCTGGTGAAAGGGCAGGTTCTGTGTTTGGTGCCTGTTCCGAGGTGGGGGGGGGCATGGTAAGGGACCTACAGCTGTGGGAAGTGGTCGGGGTGCAGAGGAGGGGCGGCTTCTTCCCCCGAAAGATCCTTGACAGGCTGTATTGGGGCTGGGCAGGGGACTCTGCCCCAGGAAGTGGTTCATGCCCATCCACAGGAGTGGGTCAGCTCTCCTGGGACAGGGTCCCTCAGCGGGCGGTCATGTCCACTGTGAGAGTGGGTCAGCTCTCCTGGGACAGGGTCCCTCAGCGGGAGGGGGTTCGTGTCCACTGAGAGTGGGTCAGTTCTGGGACAGGATCCCTCAGTGGGGGTTCGTGTCCACTGTGAGAGTGGGTCAGCTCTCCTGGGACAGGATCCCTCAGCAGGGGGTTTGTGTCCACTGAGAGTGGGTCAGTTCTGGGACAGGATCCCTCAGCGGGGTTTCGTGTCCACTGTGTGAGTGGGTCAGCTCTCCTGGGACAGGATCCCTCAGCGGGGGTTTGTGTCCACTGAGAGTGGGTCAGCTCTCCTGGGACAGGATCCCTCAGCGGGAGGGGGTTCGTGTCCACTGAGAGTGGGTCAGTTCTGGGACAGGATCCCTCAGTGGGGGTTCGTGTCCACTGAGAGTGGGTCAGCTCTCCTGGGACAGGATCCCTCAGCGGGTGGTCATGTCCACTGTGAGAGTGGGTCAGCTCTCCTGGGACAGGATCCCTCAGCCGGGGTTCGTGTCCACTGTGTGAGTGGGTCAGTTGTGGGACAGGATCCCTCAGCGGGGAAGCAGGTTGTTGTCCAGCAAGGCCACCTGCTGCGTCCAGCACCCTGTGGTGCCAGCTGCCGAATGGGGCTGCTTGAGCTTGGAGTTTTGGACCTCAGACCTTCAGCCAAGGTCGACCTCTTTTCCTTAACAAGGAACCCCTGCCTTGAGTATTTGGTCACAGTGACAGGTCGTCAACAGAGGCCTGTTGTCACGCGGCAGGCTGCTTAGTGCCCTTTTCCATGAATTCATGAGTTGATTGTGCACACGAATTAAAGTTAGGGTTGTACAAAGCTGAAAGCTCATCTCCTGGTCTTTGGTAGAAATTTGAATGTTGGGGCTGGAGTGCTGGTTTGGGTCCCGGCTCCCTGCTAAGTGCATGTGGGAAAAATGGAAGATGCCCCAAGTGTTTGGGCCCCTGCACCCATGTGGAAGACCTGGATGGAGATCCGGGCTCCTGGTTTTAGCTTGATCTTTTAAGTTGGAAAGCAGAGGATGAGAGAGCCCTCTCTGTGTTGCTCTTCATTCTCGCTGTAACTCTGCTTTTCAAATAGATGAAGTCCGTTACCGTGGCCAGTCACTTCCTTTTTGTGACGCTGCAGTTTCCAAATCTGTAATAACATAGACCCAGTTGTTCGGGGGCTGATAGCTGATGACTTCAGTCCTGACACCCCCAGGAGTCTGTGGACACAGCCTCGCCTTGTGCACGGCCGACCTGGCAGTGGCCGCCCTGACCCTCAGCCATGGCAGTGTTTAGAGCTGCCTCTCCTGGTTTACATGTGGATGGTGCCGTGTGTGTGTGTGTTCCCTGGCAGAGGTGCAGCCGGCTGCAGCGTGAAGATAAGGGAGAGGGAGGTGTGTGTTTCCTTTCCTGCTCACATTGCTCATGGTGTCATCTACAAATGACAAAATGGGCCCATTTTATGAGTGCCTGCTAATGAGCCCAGGCGAGCTCATGGTCACGTACTCACTGTGGCCTTACGTGGGGGTACCCCCTCCCCCAGGGTCCTGTGCTCACTTCCTCCCCCACTCCTGTGTGCTCACATCCATGGGGGGTTTTCTGGGTGGGAATCCTGTGTACTCACCTCCCTGGGTGGGTGCTCGGCTCACCTACACCCTCACCTCCGTGCAGGCATTTCCCACAGCTGTCTCCTTCCCGCTGCTTGTCTTTCTCTTTGTCCCCACCCTGTGTCCCCGAGGCCTTTGAGGACGGCAGTGGTGGGGCCGGCACCCCGTCTATTCTGTGGTTGCACGTGGTATAGGCTGGGGGGTGGGGGCTGCCCTTGAGCAGGTCCCCGTCTGTTTCCGTTGGCTGAGTTTTTATCATGAATGGGTGTTTCATTTTGGCAGGTGCTTTTTTGCATCGATTAGGGTGTGTGTAGGGGGAACCATATGGTTCTCCTCTTTTAGCTCATTAGCCTGGTGAATTCCATGACATTTTTAACGTGGTGACTCTGTGGAAGCCTTCTGTGCAGGGTGAGCGCAGAGTGGGGGCCCCCAGTGGCGGGGACTGCAGGGGGAGCCATTCACTTCCTAGGAGAGCATTCCCAGGGACTGAAGTCACCCCATGGGGCCCAGCCTAGCTCCCAACAGCTCTGCTGATCTTAGCTCCGTTGTGTTGTGTTTTGGGAAGGGTGAACTCTGTGTGTGTGTGTGTGTGTGTGTGTATGTGTGTGTGTGTGTGTGTTGTGGGGGGAGGTGTGGTCACTGCAGACCCTCTTGTAGTCTCTGCCCTCTGCCAGGCATTGGTCCACCCCACCCATTGGTAGTCATTATTGCCCAAGACTGTGGATGCCACTCCCTTTCCTCTACAGGTGAGGGAGGGGGCTGCTGCTCTCTGGGGCAACTGAGGCACATGAATTCTTCCTCGCCAAGCACTAAGTGAGCACCATGTGTATGCCAAGTGCTCTAGCCCACTCTGTCAACTGGAGGCCCATCCTCATTCCTGTAGAGAGGGTTAAATCACTTCCTTAGAGCGCCTGGGCTGATGAGAAGTTAAATCTGCAAGCTGAGTTCTTCCCGCTGTCCCAGCTACTTGGGGTGTGGTGTGTAGACAGGAGTTAAGGCAGGATGACCACACTGGTTGCCGACAGCAACCGGGATGGGGTTTGCACAGCCTCACCTGAATGGCCAGCTGACCCCAGACACCCCTGACATGGGGTGCTCATCTTGAGGGCCTCATGCTGCTGTCTTGGTCCAGGTGGATGCCTTACTCAGCAGCGATGTGGGGTTTTTGGTTGGCCTGTTGACCTTCAGTGATGGGCAAGGAGACAGGCCTTTGTCCAGTTGCCACTGGCTTGCTAAGTCACAGTGTGACTCTGAGATCCTGGGACCCTCACGGCTTGGGCCGAATGTGTTATGACAACCCTTTGGTGTCCGTCAAGGCTGATGCCTCAGCAACAGAATGGACCATCGTTTTCCAGTTGTGGGCATGTGTATCCTCAGCTCAGCCAACATTTACCAAGCACCTACTGTGTGCAGATACTGTGCTAACAACAGGAAAAGAGAAGTAATGGCAGAGTTAGAGATCTGCCATCCACTGGTTCACTCCCCAAATGGCCATAATGACCAGGACTGGGTCAGGCTGAAACCTGGAGACTGCAGCTCCATCCAAGTCTTGGGTGCCCACATGGGTGCAGGTGCCTGAGCACTGGGGCGGTCTGCTGCTTTCCCAGGAGCATGAACAGGAAGTTGGATCAGAAGTGGAGTGGCTGGGACTTGAACTGGGATCCACATGGGATGAAGGCTTTGCAGGCAACAGCTTAACGCACTGTGCCACAATACAGGCCCCTTGCATGCTTGCTTTATTTTGGCAGTTCTGAGGTTGGCTTTTTAAAATAAATTAAAAAAATTTTTTTTTTTTAAAGAGAGGAGCAGCCACGCACAGTGTTGCCAACCGTTGGGTTACTTCCTGAATGTCAGCAATGGCTAGGGCTAGGCCCGGCCAAACCCAGGTGCCTGGTCCTTCATCCAGGTCTCCCACATGGGTGTGACAGGAACCTAGCCACTTGAGGCCGCAGCACTGCCTCCCTCGGTCTACACTGACAGGAAACTGACATGAGGAACCAGAGCTTGCAGTCTGTCCCAGCCGCTCCACTTCCGATGCAGCTCCCTGCTTATGGCCTGGGAAGGTGGCGGATGATGGTCCAAATCCTTGGGACCCTGCACCTGTGTGGGAGACCTGGCGGAAGCTCCTGGCTCAGACTGGCCCATCTCTGGCCCTTGAGGCCACTTGGAGATTGAGCTAGGAGATAGACGATCTTGCTATCTCTCCTTCTCTGTAACTATGCCTTTCAAATAAAAATGATTTTTTTTTTTTTGTTTTCGTAAGAGTGGTTAAGACTTGATTCCTTAGTCTAGAGGAACCTGTTTGTTGTAGCATTGGCCTTCATGGGTGGGACACCTACCTTGATAGTTAAGGTAAATGCATGAGTCACAGGAGCCTAGGTTTGGACGCACCCTTTCACTCTGGTTGGTGGGATGGCCTGGGGCGCGTCGCAGGATTCTGGAGGACTCAGCGTGGTGTTGTGTGTGTGTCCCTTGGCAGGTGTTCGCCCCAGATGCAGGTGACACGCCTGCTGCTCAGACATCCTGGAACTGTGCTTGGTTTGGGGCCCAGAGAGTTGGGTCCTCCCAACTCAAGCCTTGGGCAAGGAGGCAGGCTGCTGGCTGTTGGGGTGGGATGGGTGGCTCGGCCAGAAGGCTGCCAGCCACTTGATGCCTCTGGTCCCTGTGCCAGGTGTGCTGTGCTCTGTCAACATGGACCAGGTTGTCAGTCCCACTTCAGTTTTTGGTCATTTCTGCAAGAAGTGACAAGTGCTATCACTTGCACTTTCTTGGTCTTTTCTGTGCATTTTGTCCTGGTCTCCCTGCTTATTCTCTCCCCCAACAAAGACCCCTGGGTCCTGCCTCATGTTCAGTTTCCTTCCCACCTCACCAGCAAAGTGCTGCTGTTGCCATGGCCCTGCCTACGCACAGGTCGGCCCGTGGTCCATGTCTCTGTATGGGGATGCCAGCCTGGCCCCCTGTGAGAATGGTGGCTCTGGTGAGCTTGCCTTTGGGACCTCATTGGTTCTCAGCAGGTGTCTCACCATGCTGACTGTGGGGTCTGATGCTGAACATTGAGCCCACCTGTGATGGTGATGAAGTCCTGATTGACATGAAGAGGTTGCTTACGTTCAAGAGGAGGCCTGGAGGGTGATGTGCCCTGCGTGAGCTGAGGTGCAGGTGGGCTTCTCTGCACTGGTTTCCAGTCCTGGCTTCCTTACTGCTCAGCTCCCTTAACATTGGAGCAGGTGGCTGAGCCGCTTGGGATGGCTGCCTGACTCTGGTGGGCGTTCACTGGCCGGAGCAGGTGAGCCTGTGGGGAAGCTGCCCTTCCCGGCTGAGAACAAGGACACCTGTGACAGCTGTGGCACTGCACACGCGTCTGTGGCCTCTTTGTCCTTCACGCTCTCGATGCCTGTCTGCACGTTCAAATTGTTCAGCTCCTCGTGGCTCCCCAGTGTGCACAGGTTCGACCCCGAGCACCTAATGGCTTTTTTCCACACAAGGCCTTGGTCCAGTATGTGCAGGAAAGTGGTGCAGCACGGTTCTGAGCCACTGCAGTCTGTTGTCTGTGAGTTAACGCTCCCTGCTGCACAGATCAGCCAGGGCTGGTTGGAAACCCTACTCAGGTGAGTGCTCGGTTCCTGAATTACAAAGGGTTCACCCTCACAGGAGAGGCCTGGCATCGAGGGGGTGTCTGGTGCTCCCCGGGACCCCATGCCTTTGTGTACTGCTTCCTGGCCATCACTTGGTTGTTTGGTAGGAGCGCTGCCCTGGTGGGCAGCTGCTGTTGGCAGGTGCCTTGGGCAGCAGGGGCCCCGGGAAGCCAGTGGGTGGGGATGTACAAGGGCTGTGAAATCCCTTGTCAGATGAAGTGGTGTTTGGAAGGCGCCTCCACAGGCCTGCATGGAGGAGGTGTCGAGTCTGGGGAGCTCAGGCTCGGGTTTCGCATGTGTGAAGTTCTGTGCTCGGTGTCTGCCTTTTCTCCTTACTTGGTGTGTCTTGGTTTTAAAAGTCTGGTGCCAGGCTCGATGGGTCCCGGAAGTGGGCTTTTCCCATTCCCTGCTGCCCTGCACACTGCCCATATCCTTCTGATGTGGCCTCCGGCCCTTGGGCCTCATCTGGAGGACCCTTAGTTACCTCTGCTTCCTGGTGTGTGGGAAAAGCCCCTGAGCTCAGCTGTGTCGAATCCTTGGCCAGACGCCCAGGGGAGGAGAGGCCAATAGCCAGGAGGGGCGGCCGGGGCGCAGCTGCAAGCCCCACAGAGCCGGGCTGGGTGGTGGCCTGGTGTGCCTCCCAGCTCCACGCCCAGTGTTGTGAGCAAGACTCGTTGGGCCCATGGGCATCATAGCAGAACTGTACTCAACACCCTCTGTTTATGAAACAGAAAATTGCTCTCTGCGAGATTGCCGACTGAGATGTTTTGTTTAAAAACCCTCTGGTATTCTGGTGTCAGTGGTTCTAGATAATTAATGGGTCTGGAGCTCTTTTGTTTTCCAATTATGAGGAAAACCCTGGAGCGGAGTGGGAAGGCAGGGGCGTGGAGGCACGCTGTCCTGGGTGATGTCCTGGGTGAATCCTTATTCTCGCAGGGAGGTTGGCAAGAGCCCGGCTTGTCCGCCTGTGGAACAGAACCCACTACCCGTGGTGGCTGTCTGGAGCCAGGAGGCTTTCCCTGTGTGTGGGTGTTGCTCCTGTCTGCCTGTCAGTTACTTGGCGGGTTGCATTGCACCCTGACATGGAGGTTGTGTGGTTTGCTCCCATCAGGGGTCCTTCTGTCCCTGATATTCCAAGTTCTTACCCATGTGGGCACTGCTGCTGCTGTCATTCCTGTGGGAGCCCGGCGCTGGGGGACGATTGGGGTGGGAAGGGCAGGCCTTATGTCTTAGATTTTTTTTTGCCCCTCCTTGTCAGCACTCTGCTGCATTTGCACTGGCTCTGCCGCCACAGCCTGGGGGCGCTGTCCTCCCTGCAGGTGCTGAAGCCTGGGGCTTCTAACAGTGGTTGGCAGGACAAAACCCCCAGGTCCATAGCATCCACAGAGTGGATTCTGCCTGTTGAGTGGTGACAGGTGAGTGGTGTAAGGTGTGTGAGCTCCTTGCTCAAGCTGGGAACTCAGTGCAGATTGTGGGGGCAGGGACCTGACTTCCCTGAGCCATCACTGTCGCCTGCCAGGGTATGTGTGGGCCCAAGGGTGGGGCCAGCTATGGAAATCGGTCTGACTTGGGCCTGGGTGTCCCACTGCTAGTCTGGACACTGCCCATATAGGAAGCTGCCCCAGCCCTCTGCAGCGCCCTCTTCTGGCCCTGGCTCTTGCTGAACTGGCAGTGGAGTGTGTGATCTGTGGCCCTCAGCGTGCAGCTCTTTGGTGCAAGGGTTTCGTGTAGCTGAGGTCATGCCTGAGTCATTTGCGTGGGACTACCGTGGCTGGTCATCAATCCAGCAAGACAGCTTTTGGGGTCTTCCCAGTTTTCAGCTGTGATGAGTGAAGCTGCAGACTGTACCGCTTTTCATCTCAGCTTGCGGTCATCTCACACATCGCACTGAGGAGTGCGTGTGTGGCAGAATCGCACCATATTTCCTCGACAGGAGGTGATGGTCAGTGTTGCCTGTGTGCTTTTTGCCTGTGGTGTCCCAGTGTACTCAGGGCCAGGGATTTGGGTTCATGGGATTCTTGGAGATCCATCTTGGTGATGGAAGGATTTGCGTGAGATTATGAAGGGAGAAAGGACTGGAACCAGAGTGGCCACCCAGGGGCTCCTGCAGATGCCTGCACACACTCCACAGTGCTTCTGGAACATCTTGAATGCTGCGGGTGATGGCTGGAGAGTGTCTGGAAGAGACCACGCTGACCCATGTGTGCCCTGTGAGGCCATGGCACTGAAGCTTTTGGGGCTCCCCATGAGCTGCATTAGGGCGTGACCCTCGGGCTTGCTGCTGTTCTGTCAACCACACACTGGGCATGCAGGGACATGTACTGGTGTGACTGCAGACAGACGGTTAGGATGGGTGGACTGCGTGGGTAGACCCTGTAGAAAGATGGTTAGGATGGGTAGACTGCGTGAGTAGACTCTGCAGAGGCAGTTAGGATGGGTGGACTGCATGGGTAGACTCTGCAGAGGTGGTTAGGGTGGGTGGACTGCCTGGGTAGATCCTGTAGAGAGACAGTTAGGGTGGGTGGACTGTGTGGGTAGACCCTGCTGAGAGGCGGTTAGGGTGGGTAGACTGCGTGGGTAGACCCTGTAGAGAGGTGGTTAGAATGGGTGGGCTGCATGGGTAGACTCTGCACAGGTGGTTAGGGTGGGTGGACTGCCTGGGTAGATCCTGTAGAGAGACAGTTAGGGCGGGTGGACTGTGTGGGTAGACCCTGCTGAGAGGCGGTTAGGGTGGGTAGACTGCGTGGGTAGACCCTGTAGAGAGGTGGTTAGAATGGGTGGGCTGCATGGGTAGACTCTGCACAGGTGGTTAGGGTGGGTAGACTGCGTGGGTAGACCCTGTAGAGAGGCAGTTAGGATGGGTGGACTGTGTGGGTAGACCCTGTAGAGAGGTGGTTAGGATGGGTGGACTGTGTGGGTAGACCCTGCACAGGTGGTTAGGATGGGTGGACTGCCTGGGTAGGCCTGTGTGCCCTCAGAAGAGCTCTGAGCACCCTCCCTGTGACACCTTGGCAGCTTTGGACCAAGTCATGGAGGCTGCTCGTCCCAGCGACCTAGGCAGTCTGAGACAACATTTAATGAGTGGCAGCCTTGTGCCAAGCACACCAGTGAGACCCGGATGTTAGTAGTTGGTGTTTGGCGTGCGTGTTATGCTAGTGCACACGTGGGCTGAGCATGAGTGTGCGTGAATGTAAGTGTACGTGCATAGCACAGTACACAGTGGATCTTTGTGTGTGAGTATGCACGTGTGAGTATATGCGTGCGTGTGCGTGTTCTTGTGTGTATTGTGCATGTGCATTGCATGCACACGGCCTGCCGTTAAAGGTGAGGCAGACACCAGACCCGCTGTGAGTAGGTGTTAGTGCTGCGCATAGCAGGCCCTCGGGAGGCCATCCGGGCCTCGCAGGTGCTTGGGTGAGGACTTCCGGAAGATGTCAGGCGGTGGTGATGGAGCTGAACTTACTGTTTCTAAGCTTTTTTGCATTTTGTTTTTCCAAAAAGCCCGTGTAGGAGTGGCTGGGCATTTCTGTGTGGACACATCAGTGCTGTCACTCTGTGTGACAGGAAATGCAGGGCGGCCTCTCTCAGCCGCCTTCCCTGCCTTCTCTGACCTTCCTCTTCCCCTCTCCCCACGCTCCTGCTGGGTGCCCTGCTGATGGCCTCTCACTGTCGCTTTCTTCAGGAGATGATGGTGTTACCCTGACAGAGCCTGCCTTGTGGTGGCCAAGTGCGGAGGTGGCCGGGGGCGGAGCCGTTGTGTGTCAGGCACCCCACCCCGTGGACCTCGCCTTTTATACTGCAGGTTCAGTCACCTTGGGAAGTGTCAGTTCTTTGAAAGCTGGGACTGTGGTCAAAGTCATCTTGGGAACAAGAGTGCACCTGCCTGGAGAGCGCTGTGGAATAGTCACAGAACACTAAAACTTATTCCTCCTAGAGATTAGCAGTTTTGTTCCCTGGGTTGGTGCTCTCTCACGCTCTCCAAGGGCTTCTTTATGTGTTTATTTATTTGAAAGTCATAGTTGCAAAGAGGGAAAAACAGAGATCTTCATTTGCTGGTTCCTTCCCCAGATGGTTGTAACAAGCAGGACTGGACCAGACAGAAGCCAGGAGCTTCTTCCAGGTCTCCCACATGGCTGCAGGGGCCCAAGCTCTGGAGCCATCCTCTGCTGCTTTCCTGGCATGTTAGCAGGGAGCAGGATTGGAACTGGAGCCAGGCCTGAGTGGGATGCCAGTGCTGCAGGTGTGGGGTTTAACGCACTGTACCACAGTGCCGGCGAGCCCCTGGGCTGTCTCTTGGTCCCAGAGGTTTGCCTTGATCACAGAGGACACAGCCAGTGTGGAGACGGGAAGGTGGCCTTGGAGCTGAAAGATGAGAATACGGGGTGGTGGGTGACACCTGCGTTGTCTATACATTCGTGGCCTTGGAAGTTACACAGCTTGCCCGCGCCTTGGTTTCTGCCACCCACCCGTGATCCCGGGCCCCAGCTGGCATCCCCTTGTTCCCTACAGACCCTGCTCTGTGCCTCGGTCCCTCCTTGCCAGCTTCATTTGCGTGTTCAGGTGGGTGGATGCTGCCCCACTGACACAGTAATTTCAGCCAAAACTCTTGAGAGAAATGAGCGGATCGCCCACCTGTTGGCGGCTGCTCATCTGTCTCCACCATGATCCTTGTGGCTCTCCGGCCCCTTGGCCAGCAGTGGCACTCACAAGGGCTTGCCTTCCCGTTTCAGACAGCTGCCTGCAGCCCGGTGGAGTGTGTGTTTCCACTAGGAGGTCTTTGTCCAGACCCACTCTCCAGCGTGGAAAGGGGTCCTGTGTGCTTGGGCTGGGCGGGGGCTTGCTCTGAATCCCCCGACGCTTTCCTCGTGCCTCCCTCCCCTGCGGGATCTGTGCAGTCCCAAGGTTGAGGGGAGCAGAAGGTGAAATCCAGGTGTCCATTCCCCTGCTCTGGGGACTGTGTGGTCAGTGGAGCCCATCTAGAAAGCCAAGACAGTCTCGGCATCCTGATAACTGGGGGAGGGAGCTGGTGAGATAGGACCTTGCCTTCACTGGGTGCTTCCTGTGTGGGTCAGCTTCTGGTTCACAGCTCAAGATCCCTGCCAGCGGCAGCCCCAGCAGGTCCCGCCTCAGGCTGCCAGGGTTGGATTTCGCCCCCACCTTGGTCTGTCCACCATTGGCCTGATTGCACCTTTAGTGGAGACTTTGAGGTTTGAACCTCTGCGTTCTGTGCAGTTCTCAACACCTTCCAAATGCCAGGGCTTCCAGCAGCTCCTGTGTCCTGTATACTGGCTGCCCTGCCTTCCTGCCAGCATGGGGTGTGGGCTGGGGTGGGGCTACAGGATCTGTGGTCTGACTGGGGCGCAGAGTCCCCACTGCTTTGGGCCACCCCAACCCTTCCTTGCACCCTCCTGCTTCCTGCAAACCAGCTCTCTGCTCAGGCTCCAGCCACCGCCCTCCTTCCCTCCCTCCAGGGCTCCTTCCTGCCTTTCCCTCCTGCCTGCTTCCCAATCCATCTTAGGGGAATGGGGCCAGGTCTCTTGGACAGGAAATAGGAACTGAGACATGAAAGACTAAAGATAGCAATGATTTCATGTTGCCCCTGGAGAGCTCAGGAATAGACTGTGCATCCCGGATGTGTGTGCATCGGGACCCACTCCCGCGGCCCCAGACTCCCCGATGGCCCCTGGGGAGGCCCTGACACCTTGACTTGGTCATGGTGCAGGTCTGATAAATGCCTGGGCACTGTGCGTCGGAGGTGTCCCCGGGGTGGTGGCAGCTTCTTCCTTGCGTGGGTGGATGGCATTCTCTGCACGGGAGTGGGAGTTGGACAAGGCTTTGGCTGTGAACGGGAAGGGATTAAATGAAGCAGGTGTAGGGGCTGGGGTGCCCAGGGAATGCACAGCCAGGGCGTGCCAGGCTGTGCGGACCCACTGTGGATCCAGCCCTTCTGGAAGCTGCTCCCTGCTTCCCCTCCATCTGGAGCTCCAGCAGCCTTTCCTTCAGGGATGGGGAGCAAACTGCAAAGTCATCCAGCCTGGCCCTGCCAAGACAACCACAGGCAGGACTGGAAATTGAGTAAATCCAGGGCAGGCCAGTCCTGTGTGCTGTTATCAACATCTGAACAGCCCGCACAGATAAAGGCTCCCCCACCCCTGCCAGGTATTTGGGAGCCAAGTCGGTGGTGACCTTAGCCAAGTGCCTTTTGTGCTTTAGGTCCGTTTCTTCTGCTCCAAGTTGGAGGGGCTTTAGAAGCCGCAGTGAATGTTGCCATCAGCGTCATGGAAGCGACCATGCCCTGTGTGTCCCCTGCTCCGTGGTACCTGGAGCCCATAAGCACCTCTTTTGACTCTGCACCTGCTGCTGTCTCTGTGGCTTACACGGTTCTCTCAGTTGCTCGATGTGCCTCCTTGGGTGACACGTATAGTGGCTGTGTTGTTCCTGGGGACAGCTTGAGAGCTGTAGGGGTTAGTGCTGCTGCCCCCTGACTCTGGGGGGTGATGTGCTTGTGACACACTTCGGGACAGCAGGAAGGTATCCACAGAAGGGCCCCAGGGAAGGGGAGGCACAGGATGCCCAGGCCACCTTCTGAAGCCTCGTCCACCCTGTCTCCACCTGGGGCCAGTGGGAGCACCCCACTGTCTCGCAGCTCCTTTCCCCTGTTTATCAGCAGGAGCCAGAGCCAGAGTTTCCTGGGGAAATGGGCCTGACTTGGAATCCCATTGTCTTGGCGCTGGAGGAGCTCACTGCCAGCTGGAGGTCACCCCGCCTTCTCCTGTAGTTGGCTGCAGCTCTGCCAGGACTCTGACTGCCCCCTGAGCCTGCTAGTGCCCCTCCACCTGGGTAACCTGCCCTGGCCTCTTTAGGTAGCGAATCTTCCTCAGAGAGAACCGTTTTCTGTCGCTCTCCTACACCCCATCAGACGTAGGTGGTAGTGCCCAGGGATATGGGCATCAGAGGAGTCAGGGGACCTGGCCAGGCCCTTCTGCCCCCTGTGGTTCTCCCCAGGGGCGGTACTACCCGCCTGTCTGAGCCTCTCTTCCCTAAGGGCAGGGGCTGGGTGGGGAGGGAGGTGTCTCCCACCTCATGTGTTCTGCCCCCTCACGGCTTGCCAGAGTTCTTCTGTCTCCTGAAGAAAATCCTGGATGAGTCCATAGCTTCCTTCCTTCCTGGAGGACAGCAGTACTGGCAAAGCCCACACAGGTGGCTGCGCGTTCCCCTGCTCATCCTGGGCGCAGTGGGCCAGCCTGAAGCCAGGAGCCTCTTCCGGGTCTCCCACGTTACTGCAGGGGCCCAGCACTTTCGCCATCCTCTGCTGCTTTCCCAGGCACATTTGCAGGGAGTGGGTCAGAAGTAGAGCAGCTGGGACTCGAACTGGAGCCCATATGGGAGACCGGTATTGCATATGTCAGCTTAACCCACGGGTGCTGCATTCTGTGTGTTCTTTGGCCTCATGCGCTACCAGATCCGTTGGTGTTCTAGGTGGGTGAGTGGTTCCACCCCATCGCCCTGCAGCTGTGTGTGGTGTGGACACATGGCAGTGGCCGTCTCAGGCGGTTAGGTTCACCGGGAGCACCGTGCTTGTCTCTTGCGCCCTGGGCATGCGGACTTTGGATTTTATGGATGGTAACGGGGAGCTGTGGCTTCTGGCTCATCCTCAGCTGAGCTGGAGCTCGGGTGGTGTTTGATCCTAATTCTTGGTGACGCCTGCTTTTCTCCTGGTCTCCCTGCGTTTCTAGAAGGAGGAGGATCCATTATGGCTGCGACTTTTGGCCAGGCCTGTGGGTTACAGTAGCCCGCACGCCCCCATGCTCTGAGGCTTTTGCATTGGACGCCCTCAGCAATGCTCTCTGACTCCATCAGAGTGTGTGTGACTTTCTTGGCCCCACTGTCCTGGGGAAAAGCCTGGGGAGCTTTGTTTTGTCACCTCTCTTTTCAGGAATGTCCTTTCTGTTCAGGCTGGCTTGGCAGGGTGCAGAGCCAAGGAAGTGAGTCAAGGCAGCCGAGTAGGGCGGTCTGGGCTGCTTCAGGCCCCTCTCCCCCAGGAAGCATCCTGGGGTTTTCAGGAGGATGGCAGCCCCTTCCCACCATGCTGGCCCATCTCTGGCTGCTGGCACCCAACCGACCAGAGCCTGGTGGGGAAGGGGCGTGCTGACTGATGGCACCAGAGAGCCTTGTGAGTGGTGGCTGGCAAGCAGTAGGTGTAAGGAGTTGCGTGGTGACTGTTACAGCCCTTGCAAGGTGAGGCAAAACCGAGGCTGTTCTGTAGATGTCACACATTTTGCAAACAAGATGCGCTTGCATTGGACTCCCCTGGTGACGCGAGTGGCCTTCTTGGGAGGGGCAGCATTCTTTGAGGTGGGGCGCAGGTTCCCACCTGTCTCGGTGTCAGGTGGATGTGTCCACTTGGAGAACTCCTCAACCTGCAGCTGTAGAGCAGGCTGGCTTTGCCCTTGGCTGTTGCTCGCCCTTCTGAGTCAGGATGCCACCTCCAGTAAACTGGAGACCGAGTCTCCAGGGAAATAGGCCCACTGCTAATGGAGATGTGTGGCAGGCGCCCTGAAAGTGGGGTCTCCTGGATATGCAGAAGCAAGTAAGCAGCAGGGGCACTGGTCTGAAGCCCTTGGTCCCCTCCTTCATAAGTGGCAGGTGCTCCCGAGGATAGCAGCAGGCCACCAAGAACGAGGTGCTAAAAAGCACTTTTGTCATTGTTGTTCATTTTGATTGAGACAGTCGCCATGGCCAGGTGTGAGCAGTACAGAGTAGGCAATCCCGGGGCGGCCCCTTCCGCTCCCCCTCCCACATACACCCCTCAATGCGCCTGTCCCAGCCGTGCACCGGTAGCCATGGCTCAAGGCAGCAGAGACCCCAGAAGGACTGTGTGTTGTGTAGTGAGCAGCCAGTATCTCTCTAGGATGCCTGGAGACAGTTATTTATTTTGCTTAGGGATGTTTGGGGCACCTCCCTGCTGTCTAGTGCCAAGGATAAATATCTCGTGCTACCCACGGAAGGTCAGCGATAGCCTGGCTCCCCGTGCTGGATGAGCTTGGCCAGGCTTGAGCTGTCATGTTGCTCCTGCTGCTTCCAGCTTTTACACACATTCTGCCAAACGTCGCAGCCCTCCCTGTCCTTGCTGTTTGCTGTGTTAGTGTCGATGCGGGCCGGGGAGAGGTGACTGCTCGATGTGTTGGAGATCTCAGCCAGTTTGGGTAGAGAACTCAACCACTGGTTCCTGCAGCCGGCTGGTCCTGACCCAGTTTAACTTTCACTGTGGATTTGTGCTCTACATGAAGGAGTGTTTGGCAGGGAGGGAATTGCTTTTCCTGACACAGATTAATTGCCAGCACCTCTGTTGCCTGCCCTTCTCCTGTAAGAGGCTGGAGAAACAGCGGTGACTGTATGCAGCAGGTTGCCCAAGGAGGCGTATTTTGCAAACCTTCCCTGCAGTAGAGGATGTGGGGGTAGGAGGAGGGTGTTGTCAGAGGGCAGCTGTCCACACCAAAGAGAGTGAGCCTGAACTTTGGGGGTTCGGGCTGTGCGTCATCCATGTCACCTAAAAGACCAGAGGGTGTGTGGTTGGCGGAGAGGAGCAGAGTGGTCCCCGGGCTGACTTTTCTAGAACTCTGCTGTCTGATGCTGAGCTCTGGCTCCCTACAGATCCTAGCCAGTTCCCTCATCTTGGGTGTTAGAGTCTCTGCAGGTTCACGGCCCGCCTGCCTGCTGGCCAGTCTCACTGTGGCCAGAATTGCTCCGCTCAGAACAGTGGTTCCCTCTCCCCTCTGGGCTCAGTTGAAGAACTGTAGCCTGGCATCCGAACCCCTGCTATTGCCTGGGAAATCCCAGTGCTGCTCTGGGGTCCAGGGCAGGCTGCCTGGTGGGCACTGGGGCTGGCACACAATAGCTCCCCATCATGGGGGAGAGCAACATAGAGAGAGAGAGGAAGATCTCCCATCCACCAGGTCACTCCCCGGATGGTGCAATGGCCAGAGCTGTCGATCCAAACCCAGGAGCCAGCCTCTGGATCTCCTTGGGCCATCTTGCACTGCTTTTCTAGGCTATACGCAGGGAGCTGGGTGGGAAGTGGAGCAGTCGGGATGCGAACTGATGCCTCATTGGATGCTGGTGCTTGCGGGAGGAGGATTAGCCAGTTGAGCCATTTCACCTGGCCTTGATGGTTGTGTTTATGATGTGCACTCTGCTACCATCGCAGCCACACCTGTGTGCCCTGGGACGTTGCTGTGCAGTCACTGCTGTTGTAGAGTGTCTGGGATGCGTAACACCTGCATCATACCATCACCAGGAAGTTGTGCCACATCCCAGCTCCCAAATGCTCTCTGCCTCTGCTTGCCATTGGCATCCCCAAATTTCTGTGGTGGTGAACCGGGGCAGGAGAGGATTGGGCTTCCTATAGCTGTGAGGGCAGAGCCGTCAAGGTGTGTCCAGGCTTGGTGGTCTGGAGTTGGTTCTCTGTCTCAATGCCGACTGCACTGTGGGCATCGCGTGCTGTGGACTGCGTGGAGCCAACGTGGTGATGCGTCTCTGTTCCTTTGTTTTAGGCTCTGGATGTGGACCGGATGGTTCTCTACAAGATGAAGAAGTCTGTGAAGGCAATTAACCTCTCTGGGCTGGGTGAGTTCACAGCTGCCTTCTGGAAACCTCATGCTGAGCACGCTGTGTGCAGGCCCTGAGGCCCTCGCCCTGCTCCCCCCACCCGTGTGTCCGTGAGCCAGAGCCCTGTCCTGTGGAGCACACCGTGTGCAGGATCCTAGGCCCTCGCCCTGCTCCCCCCACCCGTGTGTCCATGAGCCAGAGCCCTGTCCTGTGGCTAATCTCCTGCTGTGTGCAGGGTCCCAGGCCCTCGTGCTGCTTACCCCTGGGTCCTCCAGCCGGAGCCCGGTCCTGCAGTTGAATTGAGAGGGCCAGGCTCGTGGCTGGGAGCCCACCCCTCAGCCTCCCTCTGTGGGCATGTGCTATTCCCTGATCCCCTTCTCAAGAAGAACAGTGTGAGTGGAGCAGGTGGGGGTGTGTGGGTGGAGAATCTGAGCTGCGAGACACTGTTTGGTGGAGCTTTCCCACGCGTGTTTAGGGGCAGAGGGAGCAAGAGCAGTGTTCCCCAGCTGTGGCTTGCAGACCAGAGCATCACAGTCCATGGGAACTGCAGTGTTAACTCTGCCCCCCAGATTGGACTTTGCGATCACCCCAGTTCCATCCAGAATCCCCGCAGGGGAAGAAAGGAAGGAGTCCTGGGCCTCTTGGGGAGGTTTTAGTCCTCAGCACTTTTGCACTTCTCCTGCTGCTTGTACACAGTGCTCCTCTCAACAGCAAGCTCTCCCCTTGGCCAGGTGAGGACCTGTGGATCAGAAAGAAGACCGTGACGGGAGCAGAGCTTGGCCCTGCTTTTGTCGCCCTGCTGGGTTGGAGCTCCGCAGCCTGAATGTTAGTGTGCCTGGGCAGCCGTGACTGTCAGGACGGCTGCTACTGTGTCCTGGGTACCTGGCTGGTGTCTGGGTGGCTGTGGCTGAGTCCTGAGTAGCTGTGGCCATGCCCGACCAACTAGGACTTGCCCTGGGTGTCAGGAGGCCACTAAGGAGTGGACACTCAGTTGTGTTAACAAATGCCTGGTTCTTCGTGTGCTCTCTTGGGCTCAATGTGGGTTGTTACACGTGTTATAGAAGAGCAGTCATTTCTCTTCTGGTCAGCAATAAAGATGAGATCATCTGCTTCTTGGGCAAGTGATGGGGCCGCTGGGCAGCTATACGACCACTGCCCCGTGGTGTAGCTTGCACAAGCAGGAGTGCAGAGGGAGAGAGGTGGTACTGGGCCAGGTCTTGCCCAGGGTGGTGGCACTTGTGTGTGATTTGCTTCCTGGCCTGTGCAACTGAGTGCACAGCACAGACCTGCTCCTGCCCCTGTTCAGGGACAGTGCCCTATGGCCAAATCCAGTGACGGTGTGTTGCTGCTTAGAACCCCACATTGAAGGTGAGGGCTGAGAGTTCCAGGCAAGAGCCTGGAAGGGATGGGGACATGAAGATCAAGTGTGTGCCAGGGAGCAGGTGTTTCTCCTAGGACACAGCCAGCCAAGGCAGCCTGCACCCGCTGTTTGTGAGAGGACCTGACCTTGAGAGTTCCTTTGCTTACTGCATGGCTAATACCTCATTTATTTTTGTTTCTTTATTGGAAAGACAGATACGCAGAGAAAAGGAGATACAGAGAGAAAATCTCCACCCGCTGGTTCACTCCCGATGTCCAGCAGGCTGGCCCTCCCCATAGTCTTGAAGGGGGGGTCTCCCATATGTGTCACCTCTTACCCTCTTGTGCCATGCCAAGTATATAAAGTCGTGAGAATGATTTTCTATCTGAAAGCCAGAATGGTGATCCTGGAATCTATTTCAGAACACAGCAGACTTAGAGAAGTCACCTGGGGAGACCCTCCCTGTCCCTGGGGCATTGTTGACGTCACCTACAATCCTTTGGGAACTCTCTTCCTGAACTGCTGTTCGCAGCACATCCTTCTGAATCATTGCGAGGGGGAGGTTGTGGCATGAGCTACCAGGTCCAGCCCACCCAGCAAGCAAGGGACTGAGCCGCTGGCTGCCTCGGCTGGCTGGCGGTGGTGTCCCAGGAGGGGTACCCAGTGCATTCCCAGTGTTAGGTTAGGTCCCTGGGTGACCCTGTGGTTGGGCAGAGCAGGTGTTCTATGCTCAGTCAGCAGTAAGAGTGAGTGCTTCTGCCACAGGCTGACCCCCTCCACCCTCATGCTCTTAGGGTTCTTGGGTGACCCAGAATTGCCAGTTCGTTTTGAACTGACCACTTGGGCAGCCCCCAGGCTCTCCATTGGCAGCCGAGTGAGTCTCTGCCCAGCCCTAGGTTGTCAGCATGCCCGCTGGCCCAGGCACGAGGATGACACCTGTCCGCCTCAGCTGCCTGAAGTCTGCATCAGCTGCTGGTGCCACTGTGGCCGGTGACAGGCCCGGTGTGGTCTCCTTGAGGCAGGATCCTCCCGGAAGCTGTTCAGGTAGAGCTTTCCCACACGTATTTAGGGGCAGAGGGAGCAAGAGCAAGGTGAACCCCAGCTGTGGGGGGAGACACCATTGCTGTACTCCTGGCTCCTAGAGGCTGCCCTTGGCTGCTGACCCCTTCTATGCGCAAGGCCAGTGAGGCCTGGTCAAGTCTTCCTCATGCTGTGTCACTCTGACACCTGGTCTGCCCAGGCTGCCCAGAGTAAGCCAAGGCCTAGAGGACTGAGCTTGGTGCCAGTTCATTGGGTTCTGGTGTGGACGCTGCCTTCTGATGGTCTTCATAGCACACAGAGGAAATAGGCAAGTTCTGCAGGGCCCCCTCTCATTGTGGGAGGGCCCCCACCACACATGACCTCATCCACACCTGCTGAGTGACGCCTAGCCCCAACCCCAGAGACCATTACAGGGAGGGTAAGAGTTTGGGGTTACACAAGTGGGGCCACAGTGAATACTGTCTCTCTTGCCCACTGAGTGCCCACGAGACCCCCAGATATTCCAGGAACAATCACTCCAGCCCAAGCCCAGCTGATTGAGTTCAGTTTCCTCCGTATTTTGGGTTGTCCTTTGCCAGTGTGTGGTCTGCATGGGCATTGGAGTGAGGTCATAGTTTGGGAGGATGAGCTGAGATAGCATGAACAGGTGGCAGGCAGAGCCCTGGGCCCAGGTGAGGAGCGAGAGTGTGTACCTGCAGGTGTGTTCCTGCATGGTACTGCCGTGCTGGCCCAGGTGGGCACACCCATAGCAGGTGCTTGGTGAACGCTCGCTTGTATTACCTGTTTGTGCTGTAGACATCACACTGGGCCTGAAAGTCAGGAAGTCCCATGTATCTGCAAAGAAACAGGGTTAAAGAAAACGTTGCACCAAGTGAGTTGTGCTGGCTGCCCGATTGCCAAGGATGAGGGCGCAGCCAGGTGGGTGTTCTGGGATCCCTTGGGTGGAGGCTAGCAGAAGAGGTGGAGGCGACTTGTGGACAAGCTGTTTTCTGCCACCTGTTCTTAAAACAGTCTGCCTTTATTTTAAACTCTTATTAATCCAAAATTTCCCAAGCTCTGTCTTAGCCCAAAGGTGGCTTTTTCCCGCTCCCTGTGCTAGGGAGCGGCAGCTAACATCTTTCATCTCTGTTTGACATCCCAGTGGGTGGGGAATTCATTTCCACCTACAAGAAAGCCGCAAGGCGCTCGTTTTCACTTCTTTTAGACAGACTGCTTGAGGGCTTGATGGAGTGTTCTCACCCAGTGGTGTCATCTCTGCATCGGCCTGAACGCCTAGACAGACTGTCATCCCGAGATGAGGACCAGGAAAGCGGTGTTGGTGTCGAGTTCCCCTCCAGCCAAGATGGGAACACTTCACGTGGTCTCCTTGACGTTTGCAGTGCTAATTAGCAGACAGTATGCTTAAAATTGGTGTAGAGAATTGTTTCTTTTTTCCTTCTTTTAAGATGCTTTTAAGATGTATTTATGTGAAAGGCAGAGTGGAAAGAGAGAGAGAAAGAGAGAGAGAGACTTTCCACCCACTGATTCACTCCTGAAATGGCCACAATGGCCAGAATGGGCCAAAGCCGGGGCTTCCTCCAGGTCTCCTAACATGGGTAGCAGAGACCAAAGTGTTGTTTTCCAAGACGGTTTAACAGGGAGCTGGATCTTAAGTGGAGCAGCTGGGACTTTTGTAGGTGCCCATATGGATACCCTTGCTTCAGGCCTCATCTTTACCTGCTATGCGACAATGCCACCCCTGAAAAAGTCCTGTTGTACATTAAGAAGGTACTGTATCAGATGTGATTTTACAGATGAGAAACTAGCTGAATCATGGTTAAGATACTGCAGAATGCCCACATCTGGGTCAGCAAGTTCTGGCTAGTTTCAATTCTGGCTTGCTACTAATGCAAAGCAAGGGAGCACAGCAGGTGAAGGCTCAGGGTGGGTCCTTGGCACCCATGTGGGAGACCCAGATGGAGTTCTGAGCATTGACCTAGCCCAGTCCCAGCTGCTGTGTGCATTGGGGAGCTGCATCAGCAGAGGCAAGTCCTCTCTCTGTCTCTTCTTCGTAGCTCTGCCTTTTGAATAAATATATACATCCTTTTATTTAAAAAAAAAAAAAAACAAGCAAAAACATCATTATCCCGTTGTTGAGTTGTCAGAGCAGCATTTTAAGAGGAAGTTCCAGGATAACTTAGTTACGGGGTAGTTACAGAGCCCTGAGCCCTTTGGTTGTGGGAAGGGAAGGGGAGAGGACGGGTTTGAGGGGCTTTCTTTGGGTGGGGGAAGGATGCTAGACCCATTGCCTGCCCCTCTCCAGGGGGCAGTTTCCTGAGTTCCTGAGAGCAGGTTTGGGCTGGGGAAGCTGGTGGGCAGCCTCAGAGGTCAGCTGGTCAGCCTGGCCTGGTGGCCATGCCCCCAAGGACGTTTTCGAGGCCTGGGAAGTTCAGGGTGCAGAGCCTGAGCGCAGCCACCTGTCTGGCCTCCGCTGGCTTGGAGCACTGGGTGGGATCCTTCCCCAGCAAGCAGCAGGTGAACCATCATAGTTTATGACTCAGAATGGGTTCGCGTGGCTCAGCTTCAGGGTCCTTCTGTGGCTTTTGTAGGAAATTTGAGTTTATCCCAGCCTGGGTAT